GGATGGATGGATGGATGGATGGATGGATGGATGGATGGATGGATGGATGGATGGATGGATGGATGGATGGATGGATGGATGGATGAACCAACATCCCTTCAGATTCAGATTTGACTGAACGTCCCTTTCAAACAGGACTTTAAATAACGAGAATACACACTTTACTTTTATGAAGGTTAAAAATAAAAAACAACAATGTGTTTGACCTGAATGTAAGATCAGGTCAAACAGGAACAGATTTAGGTACATCCAGAACCATTTCAGGACTAACTTTCAATATGAATGATTAATTTATGCTTTTAACTTCAAGAAAAAAGGTCGATGAAACTATTTCCTGCTCCACTCAGTAGTTTATATAAAATAAAGTAAATTTAAATACAGAAACATGAATTTCTGTTCATGTCGTTACACAGTCTGTGATCGAATCTGAGGGTTTTATTGATCACATGCTGCCCTCCAGTGGAATCAATCGGTACTACGGTTAAATTTAACAATTATTTTATTTTTTTCTGCAGAAACTGTTCTGTTTCTTCAAACATCTTAAAAAAGGATGACAGARAATGTGACTTCTGATCAATCTAAAGTTCACACCAACTTTATTCAAGTCTGTTCAGGTGTAAAAAAATAAAATAAACATGCAGCAGTTTGTGAAGACTTTAAATCACATTAATTAATTACCTTATACATGCCACCGTAACGTCGTCCTCACTATATGTATTTGGCACAACTCTCAGCTACTACCACACTAAATTTTACCTGAATAACAGCTAAACTGGTTGAATTAAAGCCGTTGTTGTGTTTGAGAAGATCAGGTGGCTGTGGCAGCCATCTTGAATCAGTTCTCCAATAAAAGTGAATCAGTTGTAGAAGAATATCCAGTTATCATTTCCTGAAAGTTTCATTAAAATCAATTCAGTAATTCGTGAGATATTTTGTTAACAAACAAATTATACCGCTGTTGTTGAAGTTTCCGAACCACCTGACGGAAACTACCGAGCGACACCGAGCTCCGGTGAGTCAGGACGTTCCCGACGCGCTGACGTCACCTCAGCAAGGCGGGGCTCCGGATGTGGGCGGAAGCGGTCGCGCCATATTTGGGGTTTTGGTCACAGCGACGGGAATCGCAGGGCACGAGGCTGGGAGMGGGCGGGGCTTCTCCCTCAGGGCAGTGGCTCGTGCCTGAGTCAGCTCAGGTGGAGGAAGGAGTTCCGAAGAAGAAAAAGTTGCGATTTCTGAGGAACAAATCCAGGTTTTTGTTTTCAGATTTAAAAGCTCGTTTTTAATTGAGCTCCGCGCGGAAAAGACGGCAGATTTCTGAACGGGTTTCACGGCTGTGACACGGAAGAAAGGTGTTTATTTCCCGCCGACCGGACAGGTGAGTTCCTGTTTATATGTGCACTCACCATGAAGTCAAACAGCTGAAAGTTTCWCTGAAAACCTGCAAATTAACCTGGATTATCAACTAACCGACAGGTTCTTACAGGTTTACAGCTTTAACTTGGTAAAAAAAAAATTACAAGTTTTTCTGTTAAAGTTGATTGAAATTAATGTTGAACTGAATTAAACAGGAAAATTAAACTATTTTAATGAGTTTAGATCATTTTAGGTTCATTTGGTGAAAGTATTCTGCTTTTAATTTACTGTAAAAGGTTTATTG